CCCACCCCCACCACACATAGTAAAAACTCCTGTGCAAGTGGGGGATGCTGAGAATCAAGAGTGAAGGCAGAACTTAAAAGGAGGCTCTCACTATTTCATACAGCTTACAATTGACCTTGTCTACAGTCCAGATTGCAATTCATGATTCCACAGAAAGGGTGGCAAGTTTCTCATTCTGTCTGTTGCTTGGCAATAGGCAATCCTGGCTTCAGAGAAGCGGGACATGTTAAGAGATGCCCAATTAAGATCAGCTGCCAAACAGGTTCTCACAAAACTTGCTGCTGATCCTACTCTCTGAGAAATGAGTGAGGGAAAGTTTGAAGACCTTATGAGTCAGGGAGCTTACCTCTGAGGTTTTCGAATGTCCCAAAGTCCCACTCCTTCCTTTGAATTGGCTGTGGCCAATAACCTGGGCTCCACGGGGTTAAACATGACACTGTGAAAGGCTGATGGATAGTTTGCTAAGCAGAAGGGCTCTGTGAAAACAGAAATTACAATCAAGTCATTCGAGGCACCTTTAGGCCAGGGGTGGGCAGCTGAGCAGTGTGAATGTAAGCAAGAACATACTCGTTATTAACCATGCCAAAGGCTGGAACTCCAGTGTATTACATACTCCACAAGCATCCTACCTTCATGTCCCTGAGCCTTCCAATATCAACTTAAACATATTTAGCCAACTTTAAACCATAACACTCAGAATCTATATGGTATCTGAAAAGGGGAAGGAAGGTAAGCTGTTTTACAGAAGATTGAATACCATGTGAGCTGAAAAATTTTCACAGAGGGACTGGAGAGATGGTTCCGCAATTAAGAGTATCAGCTGCTCTTGCAGAGGACCCGGGTTCAGTTCCCAGCACCCACAGGGCAGATAATGACTGTCCATAACTCCAGTTTCAGGGAATCCAACACCCTCTTCTGACCTCTGAGGGCACTGCATGACACAGGTGCACTTAACATACATGCAGGCAATACACTCATACATATTAAAAAAAATATTCACAATCAGGGCTACAGATGAGGGCTGGAGAGATGGCTCAGTGGTTAAGAGCACTGACTGCTTTTGTAGAAGACTCAGGTTCAAATCCCAACATCCACATGGCAGCTAACAATGGTCCATAACTCCAGTTCCAGGGAATCTGAGGCCCTCTTTGTTCTCCGTGGGCACTACACAATATAGGTGCACTTACATACATGCAAGATTAATACTCATACACATAAAATAAAAATAAATAAATCAAAAAAAATTTCACAATTAGCCAGGTGTGGTGGCATATGCCTTTAATCCTAGCACTTGGGAAGCAGAGACAAGCAGATCTCTGAGTTTGAGGCCAGCTTGGTCTACACAGCAAGTTTCAGGCCAGCCAGGGTTACATAGTGAGACCCTGTCTCAAAAACAAAACAAGGCCAGGTGTGGTGGCACACACTTTTTATCCCAGGACTCAGGAGGCAGAGGCAGAGGCAGGCAGATCTCTATGAGTTCAAAGCCAGCCTGGTCTACACAGTGAGTTCCAGGCCAGCTGGCTATAGGAAGACCCTGTCTCAAAAAGACCGAAAACGAAACAAAACAAAACAAACACAACTGATTCCTGGTAAAGTTATGATACCTTTAATTAATTTATAAAGTTTTAGACTGCAAAGACGGCAAAGTCAAACAGTAAAAACCTAAGGCAAAGCAATAGTGTAGTTTTTCCTTCTGGTTAATGATGCTCTCTAAACAGTTCAGTGAAGAATTATGATTTGACTTCCAGTATAAGAACATTAAAAAAAAAAAGAGTAAGCCAGGCGTGGTGACACATACCTGTAATCCCAGCACTTGGGAGGCAGAGGCAGGTGGGTCTCTGTGAGTTCCAGGCCAGCTGGGGATACAGGGAGACCTTGTCTCAAAAAGACAAAAAAAAAAAGAGAAAGTGAGTGTGGGGTACCCAGACCCAAGTGATACACTAAAATGCAACCCCTACACAGAAGGCTCAGGGAACATCGAAGAAGGAGGGGTACAAAGGTTGTACAGACCAGAAGACCAGAATGCCTATTGCTAAAGAGCTGCTAGTGTGGGGCTGGAGAGATGGCTCAGCAGTTAAGAATGCTGGTTGTTCTTGCAGAAGACCCGGGTTCGAATCCCAGCACCCACATGGCAGCTAACAATGTCAGTAACTTCAGTCCCAGGGGATCTGACAGCCTCTTCTGACCTCCATGGGCATTGCACGACATGGGTGCACTTACCTACATGCAGGCAATACACGCATACACATAAAATAAAAATAATAAATAAAATTTTTTTAAAAGGTTAAAAAAAAAAAAAGAGCTGCTAGTGTGTTCCAGACATGACAGAGAAGCTGCACCCATCAAATTGCAACAATATGGTCTAAATGAGACCTATATAATGACAACACCAGCCGACATGCCAACATGGATGGGGGAAATTTCACAAGATCACGTGAAGATGAAGAGTTATAGGCAATCAACGGCTGCTGAAAGAGGTTTTCTCCGGGTATAAGCTCCCTTTGGTCAGACCTAAATACACGTACATACTAGCACCATTAAATGGACTCAGTAGGTTGATTTTGTGTGTGTGTGTGTGTGTGTGTGTGTGTGTGCACGCGCATGTATGTAATTAATAATTAAAGAAGATGTCAAGATACTGAGAGAGACTGGGAAAACATGGGAGGAGCTATAGGGGAGACAGAGGCTAAAATATAGTACTAAAATATGAAATTCTTAAAAAGCTTGGCAGACCACTTCTGTAATTCCAACACCCAAGAGATTGAGAGAGAAGATCATGAGTTCAAAGCTAGCCTGGGTTAGAGTAAGACCCTGTTTTATACTTTATTTTGTGGAACAGTGTCTCTCTGAAGCCACAGCTGGCTTGGAACTCACGATATAGGCCAGGCTGGCTTCAATCTCACAGAGATCTGCCTGCTCCTGCCTGCCTCTAGGGTACTGGAATTAAAGGTGTGCACCACCACAACTAGCCTTGTTTTTTGTTTTTTAAAAAGCCTTATACTTGAACTTTCTTTGCATCTAGCCAGTTACAAGTCAACTTGACCTGAAACTCCTATATCCCTTTGCATAAACTATCAGGATCCAGGTGAGGAAAGAATCACTTTGCTACCTCGAAGGAATACTCCTCTGGGACCTGTTATAGTCAAAGACAGAAAGCATCTCTATGTCTTATTTCCATTTGCAGTTCTGCACAGACCCCTGGGCAGGTGAAGCACTCAGCTGCCTCAACCATCAAGCAATGCAGACAAAGGAATAGAATATCCACAAGCACCCAGAAACTCAGCCACAGCTGCTGTTTGTTGTAACTAGCTCTGCCTGACCCTAAGAACAGGATTCTCTAATAGTCTGATCCTTGAAACAGCGGATCATGGTAAATGTTTGGAATATGGGGAAATAAAGACCTAGGTCCTAATAAAGGATGGCAGGATAGTAACTGTCTGTTCAGATATGATCATTATAAAACCAAACTGAAACTAAGGCTGGGTATGGTGTCGCACAATTTTAATCCCAGTACTTGGGAGGCAGCAGCAAGTGGATCTCTGTGAGTTCAAGGCCAGCCTGGTCTACGTAGTGAGTTCCAGGCCAGCTGGGGCTACAGGGAGACCTTGTCTCAAAAAGTCCAAAAAAAGGGGGGGGAGCCTGGAGAGATGGCTCAGCGGTTAAGAACACTGGTTGTTCTTGCAGAAGACCTGGGTTTGAATCCCAGCACCCACATGGCAGCTAACAACTGTCCATAACTCCAGTTCCAGGGGATCCGACAGCCTCTTCTAACCTCTGCAGGCATTGCACGACACAGGTGCACTCACCTACATGCAGGCAATACAATGCATACACATTAAATAAAAATAATAAAATATTTTTTTAAAAAAAACAAATTGAGGGTAGAGGTGGGCATGGCAGTGGAACTGGAAGAAGGGGCTTTTGAAGGGAGTAACAGAAAAAACTCCCTCTGCAGGAAATAAGCTAAGAGAATGCATTTCCTAAAGAACTTCAAAGTCAACAAAACAAGTTCTTCAGTGACTTCTGAAGGAGGTGCTCACTGACAACTCTCCATAGACAGAATGAACTTGAACTTGCCACTACTTCACAATTCTACGCAGGTAAAATGAGCATCTGTATGTTTTTTCAACAAAAGAACAAGTCTGAAATTGTGTCTGAAATAAAAGTGCATAGTGCCTTATTCTCAATAAATAACCAAAAGAGTATGTGTCAGCAACACACAAGCGGGACCCCTCACAGGTACCTGCCACACTGCATCACATCTTCTGCCCCTAGAGACCACAAAGCACCAGGATGTAAAGATTTGTGGAGTCCCAGTTGGCTGTAAAATGTTTGGTAATGGTGGTTCATATCTGAGTACTCAGGGCAGGATGGGGCCTCCAACGACACATATCTACACTGCACGTGGGAACCTTGAATTTCCTTTTCCTAGGTATCACTCACAACCATATTATAAAGTGAATACGCAATGAATGTTACATCAAACTGTTGGGCACAGTTCAACAGCCTTGTATAAAGTGACCTACCTCCATGCGGAGACTCCCGGATGTCCCAAATGAGAACTCGGCCATCATCTGAAGAGCTGGCAAAAATGTTGTCGTTCACTGGGCTCACTGACAAGCCATAGACTGCATCTTCATGAGCAAATACATCCAGGGTCTCACTACTGAGGAACAGAAGAAAGAGATGGGTAAAACAGGCACACATATACACATAAACATGGCACAGAGTCCCAGCCCTCTGGTACCTAACTAGAGTATAGTTTTCTTTCATTCCTAGGACAAAGTTAACCAGGTAAACCAACGAGATATTCTATTGCCTAAAAGGTCAATATGGCTTTCAAGTGAAAAAAACATACGTAATGTGTGAGTATAAAGTATGCATGCACACAAAGGTGCTACTTTTATAAATTCCGTAATTTTCATACTAAGCATATTTAAAAGTGACTCAATAGCTAAGTTTTGTGTTTTCATTATTACACATCCATCTACATGCATTGAGATTTGAGGGTAGTTACTTGATTTCTGAAAACCAAGGGGAAGCTTTAAAGCAGCCAGATCTGGTAAAAGTGTAGATGGAAAGGATCTCCTAGCAAAGTAGCATGGTGATTAAACAGCACAGCTTTGAGCTAGGTGGAACCAAGACCAAGCCCTATCATTACCTGACTTTAAGTTACCTAACATCTCTGTGCCTCCATTCCCTCATCTGTCATGGCTATCACTATAGTATCACTCACAAAATGAATGCTATGGCTAAATGAATCAATACATAAAAAGCCCTTAGAATGGTGTCTGAACTCAATAATTATTAATATTATTTCCTTTCCTCTTCAAATCTCTCTCTTTAAATTTTTACCTAAAAACTGTAATTGTATGCCAACTTTGCAAGTCTTTTTGTTTTTTAAAATCAAAACTTTAATGCTGGGTGTGGTGGTACATGCCTTTAATCCCAGCACTTGGAAAGCAGAGGCAGGTAGATCTCTGGGAGACTGACATCAGTGACATAGTGAGTTTCAGGAGAGCTGGGGCTAAAAGGAGACCCTGTCTTCTGAAAAAAAAAAAAAAAAAAGCTGTGTGCGGTGGTGCATGCCTTTAATCCCAGCACTGGGAGATGCAGACAGGTGGATCTCTGTGAGGCCAGCCTGGTCTACAAAACCAGTTCCAGGTCAGCTGGGGCTACAGAGAGATCCTGTCTCAAAAAGACCAAAAACAAAAGAAAACAAAACTTTACTTCAAAACTATTAGAGAAATCTTGCAGAAAAATAATATTGGTTCCATTTTATTTTTTACAAAAACTAAAACCTACTTCTCTACAAAGATATTTGCCTCTCTTCATATGAAAAATGGTTAGTCATCGTCACACATCAATAATCTATTTACCTTTCAACATCATGGAGGATAACTTGCTCATCATTTCCTGCAAAGGAAAAAGATAGACATTTCATAATTCCTGCAAGTTGGCCCCTGCCCACATTTTGATGTGGAATTTTTAAGTTTTCATGGAAAAAAAAACGTATCATGGGTTGGTGAGATGGCAGTACATCGAAGTGCTTGCCATGCAAGTCTGATTACCTGAGTTCAATCCCCAGAACCCATGATGGAAGGAGAGAACTGACGCCCAAAAGTTGTCCTGTGACCTCAGCATGTGTATGCTGGCACTCACACGCATCATACACACTCATACATACATACAAATCCATATACACAATAGTAATAAAAAGTATAAACACAAAGTTAATAGAAATCAGGAGTATTAACTAGAAAAAAATCATGAAAACAATTTAAGAAGCCAGGAATACTGATGCATGCCTATAATTCCACACTAGGGAAGTTAAGGCAGAAAGATCAATAATTCAGGGCCAGCCTAGGAAAACTGAGACCCTGTCTCAAAAAAAAAAAAAAAAAAAAAAAACATTTTCTTTAAAAAAATTAAGGACAGAGCAGTCTATAGAAATTTTTTTTTAAATGTAACTGCAATAATGTATAACCTAATAACAGTTCCTAGAATGCATTATCTAAGGGATTAGGCCAAAATAAACGGTTGGCCATTAAGGAAAAGAGTAAATGACCAAACAGTTCACTGATCCAAGCTAACTTCCTGCCCAGCAAAACACTCATTAACTGTAAGACCTGGAATAAAATCTCTGAACATTTCTAGGCTTCAGCTGTTTACCTGAAAATAGGGATAATAACTGTATCTACTTTATTGGACTATTATGAGGCTATGAGCCTATAAAAACATTCATTCAAAATAGGGCTGAATACTTGATAGGCCCCCAATAAATGGTTGCTATTCCTATCCTCATCACCTTTTACAACATTAAAATGATGACCATGTGATTCCAAATGATGGTAAAGCTTTCCTCCAGAACTTTCTTTTATATTTCTTTATTCTAAGGATCTAAAATCACTATAAACATAAAATGTCTCCAAATGTTTTTTATAAAGCCAGTAAAATTACAGCCTGATTATGCATATCAGAAAGAAACATCCCACTCTGTGCTTAAATGCATAGCTACAGCCACTTAAATAGAAAGCAAAAATAGCAGTAAGGATGTGGTCCAAGTCATCTCAAATTTCAAAGTCCTAGCTATAAATTCTCCTGTGGGTGAATACTAATGACATAAACTCATATTAATGCCTTCTAGATGTCGGACACAGTGCTAGGTACCGGGGACATGAGAATACAATTCTGCAAGCCCTTGAAATCTCAAATCCTACTACACAAACTAGTAGCAGCAAAAGATGAACCTTGCCAGGCATGGTGGCACATGTCTTTTAGTCCAGCACTTGGTAGGCAGGGGCAAGTGAATCTCTGAGAATTCAAGACCAGCCTGGTCTACATAGTGAGTTCCAGGCCAGCTGGGGCTACAGGGAGATTGTGTCTCAAAAAGACCAAAAAAAAAAAAAAAAAAAAAAAAAGAAGATGAACCTTATAAGCTGCAAATGGAGAAATGTTCAGCAGTTTCTTTTACTTTGGTTTTAGAAGTGTTACCTATTACTACCACCACCTAATTCCCCCTCCCCTCCTTTTCTTGGCAGTGCTATGGATCTAACTGTGGGCTTTGTAATACTCCACACAAGTGTTCAACTAATGAGCTATATCCTCAACACCATCTTGCATTTAAAATGCTTTTGGAACAAGCGGGGCATTGTGGCCCATGCCTTTAATCCCAGCACTTGGGAGGCAGAGGCAGGCGGATCTCTGTGAGGTCGAGGCCAGCGTGGTCTCCATAGCGAATCCAGGCCAGCTAGGACTACAGGGAGACCCTGTCTCAGAAAGATTAAAAAAAAAAATGCTTTTGGAACAAAGGAGATATCCAGTGGGAAAATCTGCAGCAAAGAAAAGAGGTCAGGGCTGGAAATTCAGTAGTCAGAAACAAAATGGTTGATGGAGTAGCCATCACCAAGAGGTTGACTTGCATACCTGCCATTCCAACTGTACCTAACACAATGCTTTTTCAAAGAGTCATCCATGAGTCATGACATCAAATTAAGTCACAACCAGTATCCTTAAAAATGAAACAGTGGGGCTAGAGTGATAGCTTGGCAGTTAAGAGTGTTTGCTGCACATTTAATGAGAACTAGAGTTCAGACCTCAGCACCTGCATAAGCTGAGAGCCAATGCTCTCCTTTGGTCTCCATAGGTACACAGTGTAACCACTCGCACACACATGCACATTTAATCACACACACACACATACTTACACATTAAAAATAAATCTTTTAAAATATTACATAGAGCCGGGTGTGGTAGTGTACGCCTTTAATCCCAGCACTCAGGAGGCAGAGACAGGTGGATCTCTTTGAGTTCAAGGCCAGCCTGGTCTACATAGCAAGTGCCAGGCCAGCTGGGGCTTCAGGGAGGCCCTGTCTCAAAAAGACCAATAAATAAAATATTATACAGAATAAAATAAAATCAAACCTGGTGGGCTGGCAAAGTTGTTTAACTTTGATCCCTAGGACACAGATGTGGTAGGAGGAAAGAACCAATGCTCACTACTGTCCTCTGACCTACACACATGCTAGCCATGGCATGTACATGCCCACATGTTTGCATAGACATACCCTCCTCTACAAAATAAATAAGTAAATGTAACTATTTCTTTTTTAATCTAGCCTGTTACCTCAAGCCTATAGTTCAAGGCCAACCTTGGCAACATAACAAGTTTAAAGCCAACCTAGGTTTCTTGAGACTCCATCTCAACAAATAAACAAACACAAAGAGATAGAAACCAGGTATGGTGGTGAATGCCTGTGATCTCAGCCCTTGAGGCAGCCAGGAGAGTCCAAGGTCATCCTTAGCCAGAGCTAAAGGTACCTTATCTCAAAGAACAAAATCTCAGGTAAGCAAGATGGCTCAGTAGATAAAGGTGCTTACTATGCAAGCCTGGAAACCTGTCTAATCCCCAGGACCCAGGAAAGATGAATGTACATACATACACACACACACACACACACACACACACACACACACAAATAATTGAAAGTTAAAATTATAAAATTATAAAGTTACTCTACCACTTCTGTAACTAATTTCCCAAGGTAGACTCTTTCTTCTTCTTACCTCCAGAGAATACTTTGGTGTTCCCACTGTTGAAAGCCAGGCAAAAAATGTTAGAGTGGTGCTCTCCTTTTAGCTGAATAGGCTTGACCCTGGAATGGATAGCTTGTTCCATGTGCCAAAGGAGAACCCGCCGGTCATCTCCTCCTTGAGTGGGGAGCAAGAATCTATGGTTAAAAGAGTTGACATTGCAAGGCTGACTTAGTTTTGCCAGCCTCAATTCCAATCCTTTCTGAATCCACACCTCCCCAACTATATAAGATTCTGACAGGGCACACAAATCCAAGAACTTTTAACCATGAGGCTCATGATCTCTAAACCACTCACACTCACCCAGGAATTGTTTGGGTTTTATTTTGGTTTGTTTGGCTGATTTATTTTTGTGGTATTGGGGATGGAACCCAGAGCCTATACATACTATACAAGTGCAAGGGTTGAGCTACATCTCAGCTCTTCTCCCATGTTTTGAATTTTTATTTAAACTGGGTGTGGTGGCGCATGCCTTTAATCCCAGCACTTGGGAGGCAGAGCCAGGTGGATCTTTGTGAGTTCAAGGCCAGCCTGGTCTACATAGTGAGTTCAGGTCAGCTGGGACTACAGGGAGACCCTGTCTCAAAAAGACAAAAAAAAAAAACCACCAAAAAAATTTTTATTATTATTTTTATTGCATGTGTACGAGTGTATTGCCTGCATGTATGTGAGTGCAACCCGTGCCGTGCAATGCCGTGGAGGTCAGAAGAGGGCTTCAGATTCCCCTGGAACTAGAGTTAAGGACGTTTTGTAGCTGCCATGTGGGTGCTGGGAATCGAACCCGGGTCCTCTGCAAGAGCAGTCAGTGCTCTTAACCGCTGAGCCAACTCTCCAGTCCCCCATGTTTTGAATTTTTTGTTTTTCTTTTTTGAGACAGGGTCTCACTGGATAACAAACACTGGCAGCCTGGAACTTGCTATGTACAGTAGGCTAGTCTCAAACTCACAGAGATTCACCTGTGTACTTTTTATTTTATTTTATTGGTATTTTTAAGATAGGGTCTCCCTGTAGCCCCAGATGGCCTAGTACTCAATATGTAGACCCCACCTACCTCTGCTGGGACTAAAGGTATGTTCCACCACACACAGCTCTGGGTTTAAAGATTTTTTTTCTTAATTTATTTTTATTTTATATGTATGAGTATTTTCCCTGCATGTATGTAAGTGTACCACCTGTATGCAATGCTCAGAAGCCAGAAGAGGGCATCAGATTCCCTGGAACCGGAGTTACAGGCAATTGTTAGTTGCCATGTGGGTTCTGGGAACCAAACCCGGTTCCATCTCTTTAGCCCCATGATGGACTCTTATACCTCTGGAACTATAAGCTAAAATAAACTCTTCTATAATTTGCCTTCAGCCATGGTATTTTATCACACCAAAAGAAAAATATCTAATAAAATATATATTACATTAAATTTATCAACCATTTTTTAATATAGTTTAGTGGCACAGTACATACACACTGTGGTGCAACTATTACTACTCTCCATCTCCAGAACTTCTTTACTACCCCAAACTGAAACTCTAAGAAACAGTAACTTCTCCTAGCTATTCTACTTTGTTTCTATGAATATGACTATTCTAAGTACCACATATAAATGGACTAATGTCATACTTGTCCTTTTGGGTCTGGCTTATTCACCTAGCATATTTTAAAGGTTCATCCATGTTGTGGCACATGCCTTTAGTCCCAGCACTGGGAAGGCAGTCAGGAGGATCTCTGTGAGTTCCAGGCCAGCTGGGGCTATAGGGAGACCCTGTCTCGAAAAGACCAAAACAAAACAAACAAAAAAAAAAGGTTCATCCATGTTGCAGTAAGTATCAGAATTTTATTCCTTTATAGGACTAAACAGAATTCTGTGGCATATGTACTGCATGTAGTGCACACATACACTCACCCATGCGTAAGCATGTAGAAGCCAGAGATAAACTGTAGCTATCTTCTATCACTCTCCACCTTATTTTCTAAGACAAGATCTCTCACTGAATCTGGAGTTTGCCATTACAGCCAGATTGGCTAGCCAGTGAGCTTCTAGGATCTACCTCTCTATCCCAGAACACAGTTTACAGATGTGCGCAACTGCACCTGGCTTTTATGTGGGTGCAGGAGATGAAAACTTAGGTCCTCATGTTTGTGCAGCAGGTACTTTTACCTAGTGAGCCATTTCGAAGCCCCTGTGTATATTTTTTTAAAAATATTTTATTATTTTTATTGTATGTGTATGAGTGTATTGCCTGCATGTATGTGAGTGCACCCATGTTGCGCAATGCCTTGGAGGTCAGAAGAGGGCGTCAGATTCCCCTGGAACCAGAGTTAAGGACAGTTAGCAGCTGCCATGTGGGTGCTGGGAATCGAACCCAGGTCTTCTGCAGTCAGTGCTCTTAACTGCTGAGCCATCTCTCCAGCCCCCCTCCAACCCCCCATATACTTTTTGCATGTATATTTTTATTCTGTTCCCTTGATTCACATTTGGGTTGCTTTCATCTTTAAGTTATTCAGAATGTTATTAGAAACACAGGGGTACAAATATCAAGCTGGGCATAGCTGTAATCCCAGCACCTGGCAGACAGAGGGAGGAGGATCACCACAAATTCAAGGGTAGCCTGATATACACAAGGAGTTCCAAATTGTCAAGGCTACACAGTGCAATCCTGTCTTAAAAAAACACAGACCAGGTGTGGTTGTACACTGCTTTAATCCCAGCACTCCCAAGGCAGAGGCACGCTAATCTCTCTGAGTTCAAGGCCAACCTGGTCTACATAGTGAGTTCCAGGCCAGCTGAGGCTACAGGGAGACCCTGTTTCAAAAAGACCAAAAACAAAACAGAAAACAAATACAAGCTGGGCATGGTGGCTCACGCCTTTAATCCCAGCACTCCCAAGGCAGGCAGATCTCTGTGAGATAGAGGCCAGCCAGGTCTACATTGTGAGTGCTAGGCCAGCTGGGGCTACAGGGAGACCCTGTCTCAAAAAGATTAAAAAAAAAAAATTAACAGAAGGCATAAGAAGCCAAATCATACTTATTGCACTGAAAAGTTATCTTTGCATATTGAATGCCTTTGTTCTTTTGTTTTCTATGTTCTCCTTTCCTCTACAGTCAAAATCAAGTTGTCATCTTCAAGGTATCACTGTCTACCACTTACATATGGTCCAGAGTGCCTTGAGTTTCTGATTTGACTATTTCAACTAGGAGTTTTCTGGTTTAGGATAGTATCTAGATTTTTTTTTTAAATTTTATGTATATAAGTATATCACCTGCATGCACCCATGCTGTGCAGTGCCCACAGGTCAGAAGAGGGTGTCAGGACTCCTGGAACTGGAATTACAGTTGTTAGCGCCATGTAGGTCTGGGAATCAAACCTGAGTCCTCTTCAAGAGTAGTCAGTGCTCTTAACTACTGAGTCATCTCTTCAGCCCAGTATCTAGAGTCTTTAATTCAAATTTGCCACTGTTAACATATCAACTATCAAAGTTATGAAAATAATAGTTTGGATTTTTTTGTTTTGTTTTTGTGTTGGTTTTGGTCTTTTTTAAAAAATATTTTTATCTTATGTGTATGAGTGTATTGCCTACATGTGCATAAGCGCATCCATGTCATGCAATGCCATAGAGGTCAGAAAAGGATATCGGATTCCCTTGGAACTGGAGTTAAAGACGGTTCTTAGCCACCATGTGGGTGCTGGGAATCAGATCCAGGTCCTCCGCAAGAGCAATCAGTGTTCTTAACCACTAAGCCATCTCTCCAGCCACTGGTTTTGGTCTTTTTGAGAAAGGGTCTCTCTGTAGTCACATGTCATGGCCTGGAACTTGCTATGGAGACCAGGCTGGCTTTGATCTCAGAGAGCTGCCCACCTCTGTTTCCCAAGTGGGAGATTAAAGGCATGTGCCACCACCACACCCAACCTTACTGTATCTTATTCTAATGAAAAAATGACTTTTTCCTCCTAATAATAGACTCAGACATGCCATAAATGACATTTAGTTTTTTGGTCTGTACTCCTTTTTGGGGGGGGGTCTTTTTGAGACAGGGTCTCCCTGTAGCCCCAGCTGGCCTGGCACTCACTATGTAGACCAGGCTGGACTCTCACAGAGATCCACCTGCCTCTGCCTCCTGAGCACTGGGATTAAAGGCGTGTGCCACCATGCCCAGCGTGGTCTGTATTCTCACTGTTTACTCCCAACACTGAGGTCCTGAGCCAGAGACCTATTGCATTAGCTACTTTTTTTTTAATTAAAGAAGCATTTCTCTATACCCAAGTCTCCCTCAAAAGTGGAAAATTAAGCCAGATAGGGTCAAGTACTCTTGTAATCCCAGCATTTGGGAGGTAGAGGCAATAGGAACAGGAAACCAAAGCTATATATAGTCCTCTATATAGTGACTTTAAGGCCACCCTGGACATGAGACTATCTCCAAAAACAAGTCAAAATTAAGGCCAGTAAGATGGCTCACTGGGGGAAAGGACTTGCCATTAAGGCTAATAATGTGAGTTTGATACCTGGGACCTACGTGGTAGAAGTAGAAAACTGGCTCCTTCAAGTTGTACTCTGATCTCCATATGCATGTTGTGCATAACATGTGCCTCCCATACCCCCCAAAAACAAAAAGAATAAATGTAGTTCTTAAAAATTAACTCAAAATAAGTCATAGAAACAAATTTGAAGTAAAGAACTATAGAACTCCTAGCTGATAATGTAGGAGACAAATCCAGGTGGCCCTGTAGGAGGATGTTTTAGATATAACACAAAAGGCATGAGCCCTGAAATAACTGGTAAATTGGACTTTACTAAAATAAAACTTCTGGCCAGGTGAGGTGGCACACGGACTTTAATCCCAGCACTCGGAAGGCAGAGGCAGGTGGATCTCTATGAGTTGGAGGCCAGCCTGGTCTACATAGGGAGTTCCAGGCCAGCTGAGGCTACAGGGAGACCCTGTGTCAAAAACACAAAAAAATCAATCAATTAATCAATAAATCAGTCTCCTGGGACTGGACTGGCTATTCTTGCAGAGAATCTGGGTTTATTTCCCAGCACCCACATGGTTATCTATGGCTAACAACCACAGATAACTCCAGTTCCAGGGGATCTGGTGCCCTCTTCTAACCTCTGTGGGAATTGTAA